AGAGGTGGGGGGGTCACGGGAGGGGGCAGTTAGGAGACAAGGAGCGGGGGGGTTGGATGGGTTCTGAGGGGGGGGCAGTCAGGGGGTAGGAAGTGGGAGGGGTCGGATAGGGGGCAGGGGCCAGGCTGTTTGGGGAGGCACAGCCTTCCCTACCTGGCCCTCCATACAGTTTTGCCACCCCAGTGTGGCCCCAATGTTTGCCCACCCCTGATCTAGAGTGTCTTCCAGTTCCCTCTCCCCACCCCAGACTCTGAAAATCAGGCCCTAAGGATATGTCTACACTGCTATAAAAAACCTGCAGCACCAAGTCTCAGAGCCCAAGTCAATTAGCTTAGGCTTGCGGGGCTAAAAATTTCAGTGTAGACATTTAGGCTCAGGCTGGGGCCCAGGCTCTGAGACACGTGCCCCCACCCCGCCCCTTCTCCCCGTGAGGTTTTGGAGTCTGGCCACCAGCCCAAGCCCAAATGTCTACACAGCAATTTTTAGCCCCAAAGCCTAAGCCCCATGAACCTGAGTCAACTGGCCTGGGCCAGCTGTGGCCATGCTGGGGGTCTTTCGCAGTGAAGATGTACCATAAGTGACTGGCTTTAAGCCACCAAGAAGTTAGTGGCAGAGCAAGAACAGAATTCCACTTAATTCCAACCCGCCTTCACCTCATATTCAGTATTTAGTCATTAAACCATGAGATCTTCTAGGGAGAAACTAACAAGACAACTTTATGCAGAAGAATCAGGGGAAGGATGCCTTTCACCTCACTTGGAAAAGCTATTACATGCCAGCCACAAGGTTCCCAGTCCAAGTGCCATGTCATGAGACTGGGGATAGATGGCTGTGCAGTTTGAGTAATATCTGTATTGAATTAATGGAAATTAGCTAACAAGCCTGCCATAAGGGCATTGCTGTGTGGCAAGGAAAAAGATCAGTTTTTTATTTGCTGATGGCCTTGAAATGTCTTGAGTTACAAACATGATCCTCCATCCACATGTGCCCATGGAGTATTCGTCTTGTATGTAACTGTACACTGTAGCCTAATTTTGTTCTTCAGACTGACATTTAAAAAAAAATAGTAAATGTACTAGGTTCTGAGCAAACCTGGAACTTAATTTCTGCATTGTAAAAGTTGAAATATGGCTTTGTGGCACTGTACATGTTAATTTTCTGAGGTAGAGGGTGGATCGTTATACATAGAGCTGTGAAGAAGCTGTCTATTAGCTATTCAAGATCTTGTTTAGAGCGGCGAGAAGCTGATTTGTAATGCTCTCTAGTGAATAGGGATCAGTTTATTCCAAGCACCACTAGCTCGATAACAGATGGCCACTGTATAATGGAATTGGAAGGATATCCTTTTTGGGCAACAAATAATCAAACACACTGATGAAGGTTGTTTTTCTCCGCTAAGGTAAATCTCAGACAATGTTAACGTTTGAAATCACAGCTAGCACAAGTGGAAGGAAATCCTTGCCTGCCTTGTGGTGGAAGGTAAGCATGAGATTGCTGTGTATACATCCCTGCAGCTGATCTGAAACGCAGCTGCTTGGCTAAAGCTCCATAATCTCTGGACTTGCTCCAGTTTGTGCACATGAGGGTTAAAAACAAGGAAGTAATGGTAACCACTCTGTTTCAAAGGCAGCATTTCCTCTGTAACTAGCCGGAGAGGTAGGTGACTTTTGGGAGCAGTAGAGGAGATACTTGATGCCTTTAATTCAAGAGTCTGAGGGCTCAATTCATTGGTTCCACCAGGCTCCTTTCTGCCAAAGTAATGGAGCTATAAAGTGGTCAGATTCCAGCACAGGGAGATACCTCAGCACCTATAGAGTTGGTGTAAGCAGCTCTATGCCAGCCCAAGCTCAGGGGGTATATTGGGAGACAGTGTGGGTGCTTGGGCTTCTGGCTTCTAGAACAGCCCCTAGTCTGGAGCTAGGTACAACTCGGGTATACCTCAATGCTGATCTTAACCTGTACTAGGAGCCTAACCAATCCTCAGCATAGAAGAGGCTCAAGAGTGGTATTAAAGTGTCATCTGAGTGCGACTCCCCCACCCCCCTATTTGATGTAATGGAGTTCTCCTGACTTTGAACAGTACAGTAACATTGTCCAATATAAATGTGACAGAACCAAAAACATTCTGATCTGCAGCAGGAACGAGAACTTCTCTGATTTTTGGTTTAGTGTGTTACAACTCTGGGTTTTGTTTTCTAACCTCAGTGAAAGCAGAAGGTCCGTGGCATGGATCTTTGCTGTGGTACTTTCTGTTAATTGCAAAACTACTTCCTGCAAAGAATTGTAAAACAAAATTGGAGCCAAACCCTGTGTTGGTCCTAGAATGCTTAGCAGAATCTCCAGCAGCTTGGTTTGAGAGAGATAATTTTAGCTTTTCAGACCTGAAACTTGACTCTCAAGTTCTAGCCTGAAAGCAGGTGGAAAAAAAGATGCAAAACTAGCATCACATTGAACTCTTATTTCACTCATTTTGGATTTGTCTACACATCCCTCTGCTCTCAGGCAGGTTAGGAGCCAGGGACAGGAGTGATTGAGTGTCTGAGTTTGCATAGAAGTCGTGGGTGGAATGGAGTTTCTACTAACGCACACGTCCTATGACCCTTTGCCTTTAAACCCTTTGGTGGAATGTCCCTCCATTGGTCTGACATTCAGAGGGCTAGCAAGGTGTGACTTACTGATTTTGGAGGAGACCAGATCAGAGTGTAGAAACTGTACCTAGTGGTCTTCTGGCCACAGTTTTCCCAGCACATGGCTTGATGAATTTTGTAAAGCATCCTTCACTACATGTGAGCTGTGCAGAGCAGGGCCCACATCTTCAGTGTACAGCACCTAGAGTAATGATTGTGATTGGAGCCTCTGAATGCTACCACAATGTAAATATGAAATAATAACGAAGGGCCTGATTCTCTTTTCACTTACCCTAGTGTTATTCTGTTGACTTCAATTCTGTTCTTATGTCAGTAGTAATAGAATTGGGCCTGAAGTGTTAAAACAGATCCAGAACATAACACTTCTACTTATGTCAGATTAATATAAAATATGTGTATGCAATAAGGAAGTGCCAGGGAGATGCTTCACTAGAGGATTTTTAAGGGGGGGGCAACAAACTCAACTTTTTGTTCCCTAAACTATTTTTAAATTGAGCCACATAAAACTCCCCAAGAACTTTCTTCCCGTCAATGGTAGAAAGAAATGGACTTGTATTAAAGCTGTTTGTTAAAAAAAAAAAGGGGGGGGGGCATTGAGCAATCAAGCCTTTCCCACTTTGTGTGTCTAGATATTGTGTAACTTGGGGTGTGTGTGTGTGTGTGTGTGTTGGATGGTTCATGATCTGCAGAAATCATTGTAAGTTGTTTGTTATGGTTGGATGAATGGTTGCTCATGGTTACATTGTAACCCTTGAATCAGGATTTAGAATCTTGAAAACATTTGACAGGGCAGTTGATGGGTCACAACAAGACATGATGCTCAAGAGATACCACTCTGTACACTAGGAGTTGCACACACAACTTCCCAAAACTACTGTCCAGGCTCAAGTGCCCACCAGTGGTTGTTTGCACCACCAAATGGCAGTCATTGCGGTGGGCTCTTCTTAAGTAGCATTTATATTTAGTTGGGGGCAGGTTGTCTGAGGGTGAAGCAAAATTGGGTGTTTTTCTGCTGTGTAAGTGGTGTGGAGTGGTGGATGCGTAGCTGTGGGCAGAAGTACTTCTGTATACCATGGAGTGCTGTGAGTAGCATGGGTTTTAGGGGGACCGAAGGGATGAGGCTTGAGGATTCTTTGTTCCTGTACCTGGTGCATTTGAGAATTGTTGAAACACAGTAGGGGAGGTGCTTCAGCACTTTAGCTGAGAAGAGAGGTTCTGGATAAAACTAAACAGGAGGCATTGCATTGCAGGGTAGACTTCGGAGGGCTGGCTGAACTGGTGTGGCTATAGTGCTTGTGATTTCCCATCTGCACCATGGAGGAATGGCTGCAGAGTACAGACATCTGTCTGGGACCTGAGCTAAAGGCATTACCCCTGGTGTTATAAGCAACACATGTAAAACCATTGGGACAAATTTTGTTTGCGGATGTATGGTGAAGTACAGGTGTTGAAAGCTAAAAATACTCTAGTCAATGGCTGGCTGCACTGTCTTATTTTGTCTACTGTAGGATTTGTAATGTCTTCCGATTTTTTTAAATAAATTGGCACCAAGAATGATCTGAATGGATACATTAGTCTTGTAGAAGATATTTTCAATCCATGTGAATTTCTAGGGCTCAATATATGGAAATATGACCAAATTCATAAAGCTCTCCAATAGCCTTTGTAGGTGTCACATGCACAGCACCACTGTCTCTAATAACTATGGACCACATCCTGCAAACATTTATTACTGTAAGCAGTCCCTTTGTCTTCAATTAGTGTTGTCTTCTGACACACTAGTAAGGGAGAGATTATTTCTGCTGCTACAGTTTCTGTGCAGCACTGTGCTGGTGTACAGGAATTGGGCTGAATTCCCATGTAAGCGTGGCTCCTGGCCAGTCCTAGTGTACGGGAATGTGCTAGGGGTGAGGTTGTGGGCAGAAGGGGCCTGTAGGGGGCACGAGGGAGTGGAGTCCTAGCACAAAGCTCTGTTGCCATGTTGAACAGCAGAATTATGCTGGGGCCGCACCAGTTCTCAACTAATCCCAGAGGCACAACAATGGCTTAAAGCCACCTTTATGCTGTCTCTTCCACACCCAGCTGTGCCTGAGTGTGCTGCACTTCCAGTAGGAGAGCACCCAATCACACCCTTAGTGTCCGAAGGAGTGCACCCTAGATCTGTTTACAAATCATTTGAGTAAACACGCTATGCAACTACATCACTCATTGCTGGTAAAATAAATACTTGAACTACTTAAAGTCACTAGTGCAGAAGAACTTGAGGTTTTACTAAACTCCAGTACATACTAAAAAAGCTTTTTGGCAATGAAAAAAAAAAGAGAACTTTGCTATTACTAGTACATGATATGGTACTTTGCCAGAAGAAAAACATTTATAAGGAGGATCAAACAAAACACTGGTAACATTAAACATGACCAAAGAATTGCTTCTCCAAGGCTACTCTTTGTATACTTGGCATGTAAGTAATGAGTGCAGTCCTACAGCAGAAATGAGCATCCAGTTGCGGTCAATGCAGCAGGCAAGGAAAGGGAAGACTTTGTAAGGTAAAGGAAACACCACTTGGCTGCTGGAGGAGACATCTGTGAACGTAGATAAAAAGATTTGTAACCTTTGAGCTCAACACAAAGTTCACAATAACATTTGAACACAATAAAACATCCGAATTGAGTCACGCACATGTGGGGAAAATATCAGTTGTGAAGGACATGCTTTGCTGCTTAGAACTGATGGATTATAACACTTACTAGAGCTGACCTGAAGTTCAGATAGTACAATTATGATGGCATGCAGGATTTGTGAACTAAGAAACCAAATCACTGTTATAGCATATCTATCTGTGTAATGGATGTGTGCTCATTTAAACTTAATCTAGAGATACCTGAAATTCAGGGTGTGTGGGGGGCAGGGGGCTTAGGGGGAGGGGGAAAAACTGTAAAATGATGCCAAACTGTATGGAATGGAATTCTGTCCCCTTGTCCATCTCTAGTACTTCATACAATGTCTTTGATCAGAGAATCTTAAACAAATTAAGCTGCAAAACACCACTGTCAAGCAAGTAAGTATTATTTCCATATTGCACACTGGGTATAAACTGAAGTCTAGGAAGCTTAAGTAACTTTGCAAGACAACACAGCAAGTCAGCAACAGAACAAGGAGTTGTGGCTTCCAGTTCCTTGCTCTAACCTGTAGATATGTGAGGGATGCAGGATGATGCATGTTATGTGATGGTGGACAGGAAGTAAAGATATGTGGGTTCTAGTCCAGCCATTACCACTGACCACCTTCTGTGTTAGCCTTGAGCAATCATTTCACCTCTCTGTATCAGTTTTCCAGTAAATTGGGGATAATAGTACTTGCTCTCATTGTAAAACAATTTGAGATTTATTGATGAAAATAGTTGATCAGATATTACTATTATTTCATCTCTCTTTAAGATCTTCACTTCACAAATTAAATTCTGTATTTCCTCACTTCACCTACGCAATGTGCCCATCTTGGCTTTCATTAAGATCAATGTAATTCCATTTATCGTTTGCCCTAAAATATCTTGGAAAAATTAAACTAGAATTTCCACTGAGGGTTTTTCTGGATTGTTGAGGTAGGATTATAAAGAGGCTTAGTTATTACTAAGTGATTTGTATCTGATGTCCTCTTTCATAGCCCCCTCATGAAACTGGTAGCTGTATTGTGAAAACCACTGTTGCGTTCTTATTGCAAGTACCGAGAGCGAGCTTGTTCCAGCTGTCATTCTAGCAGCTTTTTTGTGCATGATGCAAGGATCTGTCTTTTTTTTAAATTTTTTTGAAGATCCAGTGTGGGGTAAACTGAGGCAACCAAGTTGTCTTTAACGGTAGAGTTTTCAAAGGAAAAAGGTCAACACGCTAAATATGATATTGTCCTATGTATGTCCTAAATCGCTACTGACATTGATGGCAAATGAGGAAAATGACTGACTGACTGTAAATCCCAGTCACATGACATTTTCCATAAGAAAAGGATTGTATGACTAAGAAAACAATTGAATTCCTCCTTAGGGGCCTGCTCTCCATCCCACTGGATGGATGGCAAAGATCTTGTGGAGTGGAAGCAGGCTGCAAGTTTAGACCTGTAGCCCATGCTAAACCAGTGCAACAGTAATTATGCCTTTGAGGACAAACATTGGCTGATATCACTTGGAAAGGGGTTCCTCAGCAAGCTTCTAATTTGCAAGCAGAGGACAAATGATGCAGTTAATCAGGAAGCCGAAGTAAATAGACTTCTTTTCTGGGGTGAGACTAGTGGGCGTCAGTGTCCTGGTGAAACTGAGAGTATTATCCAGAGACAAAAGTGCCCCCAGCTCCTCTGAATTGGAAACAAAACTCTCCCTTGCTTTTGCCGCACAATATGTCCTTTTAAAGTAAATGCTCTTCTTCTGCAGTGAAGAACAGAGCAAAGGCTCTCAGAGGGCAACCTGTGGGGGTGGCTGGCGAGGGAGTTAAACTGATACACGCAGACAGCTTTATCTCTATTTCAGTAGACAGAGGACCCCGTTGGCAATGTTAGCAGATGAATGTATTTCTCTCTCATTTGGCGTTCCTGTCATACTTTGCTTAGCAAAGAGAGGCTGGCTGGTATCCAAAACCACAAACCAGTGCAGCAGCATTTGCTTCAAAAAACAAACTAGAGAGAAAAATAAAACACAGCCTGTGTCCAAAAATACTGAGAGCGGGAGGTTACCTTGGCCATGATGATGTGTGGGTGCTTGCTTGGGAGCTAATGTTCTATGGGCACAGAGAGAAACAACATTGCTCTTGAGAAGTGAATTCAATTTATATGATCTCTTTGTGCATTATTACAAAGCAGAATGCTGGCATTCCGGAGAGTGGCCTGTTCTACCTTCCAAACCAGCGGCTGGTTTGGAGCAAATGAACAAGCTGCAAGCTGTTTTGAATTCCAGAAGGGATTTTGGCACCTAGATACATTTTGTCTTCAAAAATGCAAAAGGGGGCAAGATTGAAGAAGGTGCAATACGCTGAGTTTGCACGAAGCAGCATTTGCTTTTTTTTTTTTAAATATCCTGACTTCAAAGTTTGCTAGTTCTTGTGTCTGGGCACGGCTCTCAATGGGACATCTCACGATAGTCTTGTTGAAAGATTCAGCCCTCCTCCCTGTGATTAGATTCTCTTTCTCTCTCTCTAATCCCTGCCTGAATATTATTTCAAATAAAATACAGGCATTAGTTGCCGCTTGGCGAGTTCATTTTGGACAATACACAACCTTGGGAACCCGAGAGCAACTGATCCCACGTTCAGGCAAAAACGGTGAAGCTGCATGCGCAGCTGTGCTCCTTCATAGTGGTCGTGCTTCGTTCTTATCGAATGGTAAACCCCCTGGGCTGTTTGGAAAATGCATTTACTCACAGTAAGTTGAGCTCACGGTGACCATCCAGCTGTTGTGGAGATCCTTGTAATTATGGGGCAGGAAATAAACAAGATGTCTGCCTTAAATTTCTGTGGTTTATGCTGAAAAGCAGGGAAGCAGGAGAAGAAATAGTGTGTCTATGTATAGCATTGCCTGCCCTACAGCTCCATCCATCTGGGTACCCCAAGTGTCTCAAGTCTTATAGCGAGTGTCTCCTTTAACTTCTTCCTGGGGGTGGGGGGGGGGAGGAGGAGGGAGGGAGTGAAATTAGTGTTTGGAATGTGCTGAGTTGAGAGCTGGAGTCTGAGCTCTGCAGGCTCTTTGTCCATGGAAATGAGTAGGTGGCAGCCAAGAGTAGTGCAAGCTATCAACATCACACTATGCCAGTGGGTCCTAAACCTGGTGTGGAGGGGGTGAGCTCTAGGGAGAGGGGGTAGCTTGGTCAGTTCCTGGCTGCTCTGCAGAGATGAGCAGTTATGTTGGGGTATTTTGTGATGTGGACTCTTGTCCAGTTCACATTGGACTGAGGCTACTGCACGGAAATTGGATATTCATTCATTATGGTAAGGGGCTGAACTTAGAGGATGGAAGGTGCTCTGACCAATTGCCAACCCCATCCTTGTATTCTGTCTTCAGAAGTTAAAGGCAGCATTTCATGTCATCTGGTGGTGGGTTGCAAGGGCCACCATTTTTTTTTTATTCCTAAAGCTACCTGACCGACTACTAAAATGTATTTAGCATGCTAGACTGGTGGCTCTCATTCCACTCTGCCATCGGGTTTGTATCTGTCTTAAAGGTACAGCTGGAAGGATATAACCTGATACAAGATATTGTACGACATTAACTTCTTTACTGTTCTTATTTCCCTATGGGGCCGAGTGAGGTGTGTGTTCAACAGCTAGGTAAACAAAGTCATAACCTGAAATCTATTTAAGAGCTGCAGTTTTTTACAGTCTTTGAAAAATGCCCTGGAGGCAGAAACTTGTGCAACTAGGTTAGTAAATAACTTCATTCATCAAAGCAATAGTGTCTTTTATGTATTAGAGCTTCCGTCTATTGTTACAGCTTTTCCTTGGGCAGTGGAAATGTTTTTGGGTGGTTTTAAATCTCATTATTTACAGTAGTGACGAGACATACATTTGTTTAGATAAACTTTATTGTAGAGCTGCTTACAACTGAACAGAGAGCTTTGGCCCGAGTGTGAAATGATGTAATTAATGGGGTCCAAAAATGTTGGTTGCAGAAATGCATTCTCTTAAATGGCGTATGAAAAATGCAGGAATAATGAAATTGGTGCTGTTTCCTAACCTCTATTTTGCAAGTGTTCTGGTTCCCAGAATGGATGACTGAAACAGGACAGTAACTAACTTGGAGTAGAAACTTCCAAGCAAATGTACATTTGTGCACAAGTTAATCAATTTTTGGTGGCCTGAACGGTCACCAATAATGAATGCTCCATACAAACAGGACTGAATCAAATTCAGGGTGCAGAATGTTTTTAAAATAAATGTACAAAGGTGGGTCTGAACTACTCACATCAGAATTTAAATAAGATCTAGTGGCAAAACAGCATAGTGAATGATACAGCATCCCAATACAAGGTATGGGGGCCGGAAGTGTATGACTCAGTGGATTTTTGGTGTAGTATGAGAAAAGACATTTGGGGAAAAAATTTTTTTTTAGGTTCTGATAATTATAACGTTTCTATGTAACGTCCCCTCCCAGTACAGCTGCCCCCACCTTAGCATCTAGGATACATACTCTCTTCTACTTACACACACCCTCACCCCTTTGGGTGCCCTGCCCCCGAACCCTATTGTATTTGGAAAGTTGCCTCTGATTAAGAAAGAGAAATATAGGTTGCAATTCTACTCTAGGCAGGAGCAGTCATGGAAAGCTTTAACTCAAAAGGAGAATGTTTGACAAAGGTCTGAGTAAGTCAACATGGGTGGGTTATAAATGAAAAGGTTCTTCAAAGTTCACTATAGTTCTCAAGCCTGATGACTGCTATGTTAGGGCCCAAGGTACTTTTATAACTGAAATATCATTGATGTTGTATGCTAAATCTGTGTACAAAATTTGAAACTCTGTGCTGTTGTGTACAGATTTTCTGCATTCTTCTCCTCCCCCCCACATCTTCACTATTAACCTTCAGTTCTCATGTGCCGCTTTAGAGGCACACAGGGGAACAGCAGAAGTGGTGAGATAATTGGTCAGCTAATGCTGAGACCATTTGGGAATGCAGAGCCTGCTTGGCAGTGCCTCTTCCTGCCCTCTTCTCCATTTCCCCATCCTGCAAGTTTTCTTTTCCCCTCTGTCCACCTCTCATGGTATGCAACCTATTCCTGCTTTGTGCAGGCAGCTCCCAGCTTCTGCTCTACTTTCAACTGAACAGCACAGCTGCAACTGCTGATAGTGTGTTGAATGGACAGAAGTAACTCTGGGTTCCACTGCTTGTCTGTAGCTCTCACTGCATCCACCCCGTTTTCCCCAGCTGCTAGTGTATTCCCTGACCATCATTCCTTTTTTTTTTTTTTAAAGAAAGATATTCAATTACAAGATTAAAGTTTATTTGCATGAAAACAGAATCTGCACTGCTTTTCTGAGTCATCTGCTCCTGTTGTTTATTCTCACTTGAAGTTCTGATCCTCTGTTTGTCACATAACACGTAGGTGCTTTAAAGCAGATTATGAATCCACAAATGGAGGATTATGCCCTCTGATTTACAGTCTTAGGCTGGGATCAGATTGGGTCTTATATGTGCCATTGAGCAGGCTCTCACCTGTGCAGTATTTGGATTGAATCCTCCGACTTAAAAGCCAGGTGGCTGCATGATGTAAAGTAATGTTGAGAATTCACTGAAGGTGATGCTTTCCCCTCTGAGTCATCACTGAACCGATGCCCTAGCAAAACATGGGGCTGCATGAGGTGCCTTTTTCCAGGTAAGATGTAAAACCAAGATCCTGACTCTTGGAGGAGCTGTAGAACCACAAACTTGGGAGCTCTATAGGGTCCAAAAATCTCTGTAGCTGCTTTATTGCTACTGGTTGGTTACCATTAAATAAATCTCACTGTTACTTTACACTACCCCAAGCCACAACAATGCCTCTGTAGCTAGAGCCATGCAAATCTGCGGATATCTGCTTTATATCTGTGGATATCCTCACCTGCATGTTTGCAGATTGTGGATTGGATGCGGGTACAAATTTGGTATCCGCACAGGGCTCTATCTGTAGCATCATTCTGAGAACAAGCAGAGACTCGGATAATCTTATCCATCCATCACACAGGCTCATCTCATTAGGGACTACAAAAACTATAATTACTTAATCTCAATAAGGATGTGTGGATGGATAGATAGTGTAGCTTGAGGTTTCTCCTGATCTCTGATGAGGAGCAGGGGGAAGAGCTAAAATTACTTGGATGACTTAATGTTGTCTTACATACCTAGCATTAATGGGCACTCTGTAAAATGTAAAGAGTGCTTTCTAACCTTCATGCTTTTTGAGCAAAGGACCTCATTCTCTTATGGGATTTCAGCTGACGTGACAGACTTTCACCCTCACTCCAGGTAAACACTGTCTTTCGCTTGGGAGCATATATGAAGTCTGAATGGCTAAAATGCACTCTACAATATCTGTTTCTGCTGTCACTTCTAGCGGGTTGTCTTCACTGCAGAGTTTACTGGAGTGGTGCCCTTAACTTGACTCACATGCCCACGCATACTCTTAACTGAAATATGGTGGTGATTTTTGACTCAAGTTGGCTGGCCCAAACAGTGGTAGAGGCTACTGCTCAAGTTAGCGCAGCCCATTAGCTTCTAACATGACTAACCAGCAGTGTGGCTGCAGGCTAACACCACGTACCCAGAAAGGTGTTGCAACATCTGAAACTGTTCTTGCAGAGCTCATCCTGCAGGAGCAAAATTCTCACAGGAATGTAGCTACAGAGATCTTGGGGGTTGCACATGAGCTTACCCGGAGGCTTCAGCCCTGTGGGGCATGTGCAGTCTGCTTGACTGAACCTCCTGGTTATCTGAACCTCTTACAGCGCCCCTCAGGCCTCCCCCCAACCCCGCACTCCCCTATCGAAATGAGGGTTTACTGGTGTTGGCCAACTTGTCTGAAAACATTTTGTGCGCATTGGCAAGCCACTAAGCAGCAACTCATGTTTTGACGAAGGAGTCACCTATATTGTTAACAGCCGAATCCCGGTGCTGGGTTGTTGTAGTGACTCATTCAAATGCTCTCAGAAGCCAGAAATGAATTCTTGTTTTTTCCTTTTGGCTGCGTCTTTTTTTCCATCTGGAAGATGCATGACTGAGGATGCGCGTGAGGGGCCTGGTTCTGAACCCAATTAGGCTTTATACCCGTGTAATCCCACTGACTTCACTGGAGAGATTCCTGATTCTCAGTGGTGTGAGATCAGAGTCAGAACAGTGGAGTTGCACCTGGAGCACAAGCTTAGCAAGTGGTGTGACTTTCTGTCCTTTTTTTGGAAAGAGTTTCACGCGAATTATCCCTCGCAGATGCCAGCAAGTCACCAACTTTAATGCAAAAAGGAATGAATACGGGGTAGGCTCAGTACTTTCACCCAGTTGGCCCCATACAAGATATGGAGCAACTCTGAGTTGCATACATGTACCCATGTTGTTAAACTCAGTTTTGAAATATTGTGCACAAGCTGCTCTGCTCCCAGGAATTAAGTTACATAAACAAATTGAAACATGAAAAGGAGTACTTGTGGCACCTTAGAGACTAACCAATTTATTTGAGCATGAGCTTTCGTGAGCTACAGCTCACTTCATCAGATGTGCACATCTGATGAAGTGAGCTGTAGCTCACGAAAGCTCATGCTCAAATAAATTGGTTAGTCTCTAAGGTGCCACAAGTACTCCTTTTCTTTTTGCGAATACAGACTAACACGGCTGTTCCTCTGAAATTGAAACATGTTCCTGTTTCAGTACATCCTATATACTCTAAACGCTTCCATTTTGTAGCTTACCTGATTGAACGATCGTCTTGTATAGTCACTGTCCGTTTTAAAAACCCAGGACTGTGAATCTAGTTTGTATTATTATTATTGGGTATCCCGCAGACAACTTGTATTATCGGAAAACCTGTTTGGCAAAGGCAAGACATGTTGAGGCTGCCTACAAGTGCTGGGAGAAGGCGTCTGTGGGGTGTGACGTGCCCTCTGTTCTTTCAGCAATGGTAGTTATG